TCGGCTTCCCAATCGCTTGGTGGTAAATAAGTGGAGTTCCAAAAATACAAATGGCACACATGCATAAACACGATTATGAACGGAATAAATCCAAAGGACACATCGGAAAAAAGACGAAGCATCCTTAAATGAAAGAAGGAGAGACATAGAGAGAGAGAGAGCAAACAATATACATCTCTGTTGTCGTTTCGCCATCATGTGTCGAGCGATATCACATTCCGCCCTAACATCTTTGACGAAATTCATATTTTGTTGGAGATGGGATAGCATAGTTTTCCATGATTCATGCTATTTTTGGGATTATTATTGAAAATGATTCGAAATGGTATCTCCTTCTTGCCATGGATTAGAAACAATTTTCGAGATGTCGTGCATGTCATACAGATACGCATAAATACTCAATCATTCCGGCACACTCTCTCACACACAAAAACACTCGCGCGCACACACACTCAAATCACATTTTGTATGAGGTCGATGCGTATCATAACATAAAATCGTATTGCCTCCACATAAATTTCGTGCTTTTATTTTTGGCAGTGCCTCAAGTCGCATTTGCACACGAAAATTTAATCTTGACTGTATCAATTTACGTTGTACGCGCATTTACTTTCAGTAAACGTACACTATGCTCTTTTATTAATACGATCTGCCACTTTACGCAATTTCTATTCTCGGCTGTCATCGGGAATTTTTTTTTTTTATTAGTGTTTCAAAGTGATTGCAGAAATGTCACACCATACATTCTGGTGTTTAGTAATGTCAAAACAAAAACTTTTGTTATTACGTTCGATTGTATGGAAATGTTTGGAAATTACAAGAAAAGAACTAAAATATTCACAAGTTTTCTAATCACTTATCTCATATCATCTCGCAAATTAAGACAAATATTTCGGTTCTTCGACGTTCCATTCAATGTATTACCGGTAAACATCTCGTTCATAATTCACATCGATTGTGTTGATGTGTGTTTTGGACGCTTTCCAAGCCTAAATCACTATTAAATTCAAGCACAGCCTAAGCCATCCAACATTTTGCGCAGCCAAACAAATTAAACGTGCGGAAGACGCGTATGGAAGTTTGATGATTGGAAGCGGTACTAAAGTAATGCTCAATTAGTAAGAAGCATCAGTAACCACGTCTAAAATATCATTTGCAATTGATGTGAGATGAAACTCACATATAAAATCGATTTTGATTCTATGAATTATTCAAAAAGATCGACTAATTGGTGAAATAAGCGTTGAAGGATTATTGCCTGAGGTAGTCTCATTATCTTTGAGTGTAAATTTAAATTGAAATCTTCAAGAAGAAAATCCGATTGGATTTGGACTACTGTACACTGTATACCAACAATATTCATTGATTAATGTAAAAGCGGATTTTGATTAGCTTTGTTCTATTAAAAACCGAATCATCTCATCAAATTATGCTACACAGTAAACACGATGGTTCTAACTTTTAGAACCGCAATATGAAATTTGACACTAAAATCCATTTGTACTAGATAAAATTCAAAATGTAGTTAATCACAAATCAAAGCTTCATGTATTTATTATAGAACTTTTGAACTTTTTCTAGAGCAAATGGTACTAAAACAAAGTCAAGTGTCAAATCTCAACATTGCTAGAATCATTGTGTTGACTGTGTACTAGCAAATACGCTGAAGATCAAAGTTCGCTCAAACATGTGTCGCTTTTGACAAAATCGTCCAACTCAATTCTCTTGATAACATTTAATACAACGAAGTTTATACTCTCTGCGGATATTTCAAGCACGAATCAAATCCAGAGTGGCTAATAACCAAGCTTAATTCCGCATAAGGCCGATTGATTTCGCGTGTTAACACTTGACTTATCGAATTTGAAGGTGATCTACATGTAAATTTTCAATTAAAAAGTATTCGCTCTTTGATCTCGATATAACAATATCTTATTAGCAATTCAATTGAAATGTATACAGTGTTTTTGAAATCTGGCTCGATTTCCATTCGCATTTTAATCGATACATCCGCGATTTGAGCAGAAAAACAAACGTGAAACTGAAACAAAGCCCATTTGAAATAGTCCGATGTTACGCTGTAATTACTTTGCTGCTGTTGACGCAAAATGAATAAGCTAGATGGTATAGACATGGTTGGAGGGGTGCATTTACAAGAGCGAAGTGTGGAACATGGCAGAAGATAGAAACTAGAAATTCATATTATCAATTAATAATTAATATTTTGTTTCCAAGCGAGACATCGAAACTTTTATCGTGAACACAAACTTGAGCTAGGCGTTGAAATACATGTAATAGACAACTAGAAAGTGCCTCGTCGTATGCAACGATACGCAATATCAGTGCTAGCGCAAGCGAATTGAGTAATAAATTCAATTGGAATATTTCGTATTGCCGATGGCGTTCCATTGTTACCATAGATGCGTGTCTTTCGGTTGAAGTTTGGCATATACACACACACCCACACCATACGCACAGTCAAATTAATACACGACAGCTATAGCGAAAACGCACTCGAGATAAAATCTTGATCTGTAAAATCAACAAAACAGTTTATCTCCGCTGAGAGTCGACTTATATTTCATTGCGGGCATATAAAATGTACCTTTTTCAATAAGTACACGCGAGCACGACTGTGAGCGTATGATGACAAAGCGGCAATATGTATGATTTTTGCGTATGTGAAAGTTTGCTTTATATCGCTCTCGAACTTTGGCAATTTCTTTTTTCTAAAGCTAACATCGAAAGATGCGTCTCACTTTTCCCATTTCCATCTTTTACTGCATGCATGAAACCCGTTCCGGATGTCTTTTCTTTTCGCTCGTTCCCTCGTTGCTTGCTCTTCGTGAGCGTTATCAGTGTGTATACGTATATTTTTTCTACGTCGTTTGTTCTTGTTATTTCACTGCTTACAAAATTACCATGTGTTTATCTAATTCAAATTAAATTGTAACTACGATCATGAATTGTTTACATGGTTCAATATTTACCACCACCTCGAATGATTCCCGTTCTGTCTGCAATCTTGCCTCAAATCAACACAAATCAACTAAACAATTTTGGCGAAAAGTTGGGCGTCACGGTGGCTTTCCGTTGCCATGATACAGATTTTGATATTAATTACAAAATTTTGCTGCGGCAAAACATATCTTTCGGGTAGCTGCTATTCATATGTGGGCTTGTGGGAATGATAGCTGTATCCGCATTTCAATGTTGCATATGCGCACCATCCAAAGTTGATATAATACATTGGCAAAACGGAAAAAGTGCGAGAGATACGTTACCATATCTGTGATAGTTTCTCATGAAATTGAGCAATTTCATTTTTCTTCATTTATGAAAACTTACAAAATTTGTAGCTTGTTTCAAATATTCTGCAATGCTCGATCAAACGTACAATTTACATCGTACTTCCGACTGTTGTAAAATCGACTAAGGAATCTTCTCTCTGTCTCGCCTTCGGCTCTCTGGTACACAATTCCAATAAACATTTTTGTTTGTTTACCGGCGATAAATTATCAAACCGACTCCACTCTGTGCACAAACATTCAACTGAAATGTGTTTGACATCGAATGCAGATAAAGACTTTTATGGCTAGTCACTGTGCAATGCTATCGCTTAAAATAATTGATGTCTTTGTTTACATTGTAATCGATACACTGTTACATAGATCGCTTATCGAGCGGCTACTTGTTTTGGTATGCCAGAAATTACAAGATAAATGATTATGGACATTGTTGGGTACACGCTTGAAAAATTGGACAACTTTTCAATATGCACGTGCCACACACCGTCCATTTGATTGATTTAATAAATACGAACGCTGCTGCTTGCTGCAAGTAAAACTAAACAATATACTTAATGGTCATACTAGTTTGTGATGTTGATTTCATGCGAGTGATAATGAAAATAGATTTTCTTAATATGTCGTAAATTTCCACATAACTTTGGTCATTTCGCCCAAACCACAAATGTGATGGAACTGAATGTTATGCGTGGCAAACTTGTAATGAATGCATTTAGCGCAAAATATATAAATTGAAATGGTCAGAACGGCTGGTCGAGATAACAAACACGAAATTCGGTTGAGTTGATTCAATGAAGGTTGTTGCGGAAAACGGTCTTCTTGTGTAAACGTTGAATTGTGCAAATGTTGAAGACCGAAAACTCTTTGTTTTGGAAACCATTCAAGCAAACAATTCGAATTTCAACATACCAATTAAATTGATTAAATTTCACCCACTCCCAGTTCAAATATTCCACAGCTGAATCCCAGTTGGACGACAAGCGAATTGATTTAGTCAGTTGCGGTTACAAATAGCCAGGCGCTCAAATGCTGCTTTTTGGCTATAGCTTGAATTGAAAGAGCACAACATGGACAAATACGAATTAACGTGATTCAATATTCATACATGCCAAACAACAATGTTCAGAGGCTCTCCGGATTCTTTTACAATGAACGAAATTCAATGGTCACACTTCACTGTTAAATGAGACGATATTGTGAATTTGATTGATGATTAGTTGAGTAGTTTGGAGCGAAAATGTAATACAGAAAAGTTGCGCGGAAAAATGTCGATGATGAATGAGCAGAAAAGGGATAGCTATATAGTATACTATATAGTAAATTATAGTGAATTATATAGCTATCTCTATTCATTTGACATTTTTCCGCGCAACTTTTCTGTATTTCATTTTCGCTCCAAACTACTCAGTTGCTGATGTAGTAAAGAATCCTACTACACGTATCTTCTGAATATGCTGTAGCTTTGCAAATTGTTTGACCATTTCAAAGACAGATTTTGAATGGCTGTTGCTCCAATTGATTATTATTCTAATTAGAACAAAACTCATTCGTAAATGACGAATCATTATTTTGGCCATAGCGTTGCGGAAATCCGAAAATGATTCGCGGTTATTACTTTGCTAATATTTTCTTTTAGATTCCTTATAACACTTCATTTCAAATTTAAATCTCATGTCTTTTTTTCTCTTTCAGACCGGAAAGCATTTCCACCGCACCTCATTACTCATTAAGGCCTTTAATCATAAATTTCGCTTAGACTTGGAATTAAATTCGTAAGTACTGCACTTTTTGGCAATTCCCTTCTTTCTACAAGTCGATTTGGCATTTCTCCAAGTAACCTGTTTCAAAAGTGTGTATACACACTTGTTATCTTTCACTCAGTTATCTTTCAAATGAAGAGAGACAAAAAGAATTCAAAAAATGTTCACTTATATTTGTTATTAACAGAAAATTTAAAATAAAATTCAATTTCATTCAGGCATATCTCTAGAAACACCAGAAATCCCCAATAGCATTTAATTCATTTGAAGAGAGGTATTATTGAACGTCATCACAAGAACAAATGAAATGAAACTCTGTGATAGCTTCATAAAAAAATGTAGCAGATCGAGTGAAGTTGGTCTGACAAATTGCAGAAAATGTGTATGGCTTTTGGCTTAGCTTACTCTCTGAGTTCCATCACATGGAATGATACGTGTGACGGCATATTTTCACACGGAACTTCGTTTACAGTGCACCGAGCACTTGCTATATATAGAGCGAACGTATCCGAATATTAGAAACCACACGTTATTACATGTAGCAAGTGCTCGGCGCACTGGGAACGAGATTCCGTGTAAAAATATGCCGTCACACGTATCATTCCATGTGATGGAACTCAGAGAGTATGCTTTTGATCATAATAGCAAATTTTATCATAAAAATTAAAGAGCTAGCATATCCGCTAGGTATCGTTTTAGTCGGTTGATATTGAACCAAAAAAAAAAGTTCTCAGTGCTTTCAGCGCTTCAAACAAAACCGTTATGAATCTGACTGTTTTCAATACAAAATAATCCAAATATATTTTATAATAAAAAAAAATGTAGAAAAAAGTTGTAAATTCAATTTCTCAACACACAGTTTATAAAAAATATTTTATTTGCACCAATAAAACTTAGGAAAACTATAATTATTTCACTGCTCACTCAATATCAAAACGGCAAAATTCATAGTAAATTCGGCAATTCGACGAATTGCCGAACGTTTTTTGTGTTTTCGGTAAAATGTCGAATTACCAACAATGTTCCAAAAATGTTGGTAAAATGGCATTTTACCCACATTATGAATATAATCTCGGCAATTTGACGATTCGCTGAAATCACACACAACATTCGGTAATTTAAAATTCACTGGAAAAACCTATAATGGAGCATTCAAAGAGTGGCAAAACACACTCAATTGCAATTTAATACTGTCATTGATGCAATTCACACGATAAATTATCTGAATTTATCAAAATATCCGATTGAACAAATGCAGAAAGACAAATTTGGAGCACACGAAAAATGTAAACAGAAACGAACTGTCATCACATTGACAATGTTTTAGAACATTTCAAGATCTTCATCTTAGTTTGAGATACTTGCCCCTCATCCCTAGTGGCGAAGCGTTACGAGTACGCGTAGTACTACGTTCACTAATTCCCTAAACGTAGTGGTTCGTAGTGGTACGCGTAGTCGTAACGCTTCGCCACTATGCCCTCATCTCGTACCCACAACGCAAATACAACAGCGAGCACAACTACCATTTGGTTTGACGTTTTGCTTTCGAGTTAGTTTAAGTAACTTAAATGTAAGCTAAGTAACAGTAAAGAACTGAGCTTCATGTCAAGTCTACTGTTAAATCTAAACCTTATTGATTTCTACAAAAATCAAAAGATGGCGTTAGGGTCTTGCATTTGCCTTTTGCTCGTACCAGAAACATTAAAATGATTCACATGTAAACGAGCGGTTTCGGCTAATCCCATTTTATTAAAATCCCATATTAAACGTTACCCCATAATATTTTATAAATTAGTTTGAACTAACTAATAACTTCAGTTGGCTGGAAGTAGTTAGTATATTTTCATTAATCCGGAATTTTTTTCGTATAAGGTTATTATTATTCAAAATATTGACTGAACCACTTTTGAGAAAAATGGACAATTAAAAGGAGCTGCGAACGTTCATTGAACACGTACACAAATTTCCAGTGAATTTGAAGAGGAACGGTGAGATTGTTTGGCAAGAGCAAAAGCATTCTCACTCTTTTTTTGTCCGAAGTAAAAAAAAAATCACTTTAAACGCAATTTCCCGAAGATCCACTTACTTAGCTGCATATCGACATTACAAATGAAAATTGGAGGGAAAAAGATACACATTCACTTCAAGGACAATGACAACAACAACAAAGAATGCTTCGCCGTACCAAAAATGCTGGTCTCGTGCTGATGTTGCTGCTCAAATGGAATGGTTTTATTATCAATGGAATTTTCCTCTTCCTCTCATCGTTCACCATTCTCTGATTATCTAAATTCTTCTTGATGGAATGCACGCGCTGAATCGTTGCTGTGCTCAGGAAGAATGAGGCTAGATATGTATAATATTTGAGCGCATTTTAAAATGCGAGAATATACACGATAACGGATAATCGAAAGGATAATGCGCAAGGAGGAACTAAACATTGCTATTTCTATTATGTTACATTAATTTTTGTTATCTCGTCATAATACGTTTCTTCCGTCTACCCATCATGAAATATTCGACGATATTTGTACGAACGACATCTACACAATACACATTGTGCATATGCATGAGTGAACCGCACAAGACAAAAAAAAGACATGCACACACCGCAAATAGATTCAGCAAAATGAAATTAATCGGTGGAAAAAAAAAATCATCGTCGTCAACAAAAACAAATTCCAGGCAAGATGAGATTCATACTCCTGCTCGGCGATGGAGATTAATGGCACAATATTTGGCTCGGTTGTGTGACTCTTCAAAAAAATTTGCTTGTTGAATCATTTTTTTATTGCATGATTTCAACACACCTAAATAACATAAAACAAGTCCTGTGTTGATAAGTGAAGGGAAACTATTGGGTCTGGGAATTAGTTTTGTCGATTTTTTTAAATTTTCAAACATTTATTTGAATACCAAAATGAAATTACATTTCAATCAAAATATTGTCCATCGGAAGCGATGACCTTCTGCCACAATGTGGGCAATTGACGGATGCCTGCCTTAAAAAATTCCTCATCTTTTGAGGCTATAAATGCATCGAGCCAATTTTGGATTTCTTCAACTGAAGAGAACCGCTCTCCGTCCATATGGTTTTGCATCGATCGAAACAAATGGTAGTCGGAAGGAGCCAGGTCTGGGCTATACGGGGCGTGAGCCAAAACTTCCCATCCGCTATTTTCCAAGTAGTTTTTGACCGATTTCTCAATGTGTGGCCGAGCATTGTCATGTAGGAAAATCAATGTCTCTTTTCTGGTCTCCCATTTCGTGCGTTTTTCTTTGATTGCTTGTTTCAAACGTATCAATTGTTGTCGGTAGAAAGGCCCATCGATGGTTTGACCACTTCTCAGCAGCTCATAATACACCACTCCCTCCTCATCCCACCAAATAGACAGCATTACCTTGTCGCCGTGAATTTCTTGTTTTGGCTGTGATGTTGCTGGTTGGCCGGGCTTAACATACGATGCTTTGCGCTTGGGGTTATCGTAATGAATCCATTTTTCGTCACCAGTGACAATTCGATACAGAAAACCTCTTTTTTTGTGCCTTGCGAGCAGCATTTCGCAAGTCACTAAACGCCTTTCAGCTTGCGCTGGCGTCAATTCATGTGGTACCCAATTTGACAACTTGCGAATGAAACCAAGGGCCCTTAAACGATATCCAACAGTGCTTCGGTCAACATTCAACGCTCTGGCAAGCTCATCTTGAGTTTGACTCGAATCTTCATCGAGCAATGCCTCCAATTCCGCATCTTCAAACTTTTTTGGCTGGCCGGGACGTTCCTTGTCTTCCGTGCTAAAATCACCACTTTTGAACCGTGAAAACCACCGTTCACATGTACGTTCCGATGGAGCATGCTCACCATAGGCTTCCACCAACATTCGATGCGCTTCAGCCGCAGTTTTCTTCAAATGAAAGCAAAAATTTAATGCTTGCGGGAAATGTTGCTTTTTCGGTACAAAATTTGACATATTTAAGGCGCAAAAAAAAATGTTTATCCAAACTTCGATGAAATGATAGATGATGATTTTTGTAGTATGACACTAGACCAATCATGTGAAAAAGAAAAAAGTATTGCCCGATACAACCATGCAAAGTTACGCCATCTTTTGAAAAATCGACACGATTAATTCCCAGACCCAATAACTTTACATACACATACTATGAACTTTGAAGAATTTTGGTTTTCGACTTCGGTGACTTCCATTGACATAGGTTTATGGTGGCTAATATACAAACCATCCGTTTGAATATAATTTGGAATTTCACTAAGCTGATGATTGATGGCGCCATGTCGAACAGCCTGTTTGACACTTCACATGAGTTTTGGATTTGTCGTTTGTTAAAAGATAACGTCTTTATTAACCCTTTATTATGATAGATTGAATACGATGCGAATAATCAATCAACCGCTTGAAAGGAAAATGGAAATTCCACAAAACATTTTACAATTGTGAAGTTCTTAAGAACGTCACTTTTTGTTGATAGAATGGTTCGCAATAAATATATTCCCACTGATTTTTCATTACAAAATGTTTTCCATCTTCGACCGAATTTTTAATAGGAAACTTATTATAAAACTTTGTGTTTAGCTCAATTTCATGAATAACATTTGTCAATCATTTTCTTTTCCTTCTTGTATGCCAAACTATTGAATATTGTCCTATTCGTGATATTTTGCTACCAAGATGGTAACAGATTAATTGTTTAGATAACAGTTTCAAGAGGAGGCAAGCCAATAATAGGCATAAATATGTTGAACCTCTTTTTGCCCTAACAGTATTGCTTTTTTTTCATTTGAATTTTCCCCAATAACATACGCATAGAGTAACTAACTTTATTGGTTCCACAGACTCTTGGTCTATATGGAAAAGTTAACACATGCTTTTTGTGGTGAGGCTTTGGAATAATTTTCGTTCTCTGCAGTCATGAAATTTCTCCGAGGACATATATCCGAAGCATAGGCAATGCTTAAATGGTACGGAAATTAAAATAGGGGTTTTCAATGAAAA